CATACACACACACACACACACACACACACACACACATACATAGGGCATGGTATGAGGAAAGAGTGTGGAACTTCCATGCTCTCTGTAAGTATACTATTCTTCCTAAAATCTCCACGTGTTCACCAACTTTGAAACTCTCTGAGCCCTTTGGGTTTTTATGGAGGCTTCATTACATAGTCATAATTGACTAAATCGATAGATATTGGCAAACTAAACTCAATCTCTAGCCCCTCTCTCCTCCCCAGAGGTCAGGGGCGAAACTAAAGTTCCAACCTTCTAATCATATCTTCGATCTCTTAGCAACTAGCCCCATCCTTAGGCATAGTCCAAAATTTATCTCACTAACAAAAAAGACATCTTTGTTGTTCTGCTATTATCACTTAAAAAAAATTCTAGGGGTTTAGGAGCTCATTTAGTCCTCTCAATAACCTTATGAGGTAAGTATAAATAACTGTTATCTCCATTTTCACATAAAGAAATTGAAGCTTAAAGAAGTAGACAATTTGCTGGATTGGATGCTAACATCTGGCTAACATTTTGCTGAATTAAAAAAATATATAAAAATAAATGAATGAACAAAAGTAAATTTTAATAGCCTGTTAAAACAAAAATATCAACACTCATAAAATAATCCAGAGTATTTTAACACAACATTGCAATGCCACATATAATCTGAAACATATCATGTGAATAATAATTTTTTCACAAAGGATATCACTTCACATAAAACACAGAAACCACACAATCATATAGGCCACTTAAGCTCTTCCTTCCTGTATTTTATTTGAGTGTTACAGTAGTAAAAAGATTTATATTATAATTCCTAAAGAAAATAAAGATAACTCAAATAGATTCAACTAAAAATCCAACAAATAAATTAAAATGGACTATGAAAAATGTTTGAACAATTCTGAAGACAGGGAAAAAGAAACAGAGAAACAAAAAACTGAGGACATGTAACAAACAAAAAAGCAGAAAAATAAAATGGTCCTCATCTAAGAGAATTAGTTTCCTTATACAAAGGAAAGAGACACCAGAGAGTTCACTTATTCAGTCTTTCCATGCACACATACTAAAAAAAAAGACCATGTGAGCACACAGCAAGATCTTGTCATCTGCAAGCCAGAAAGAGAGGTCTCAATAGAAACCATCCATGCTGGCACTCTGATCTCAGATTCCCAGTCTCCAGAACTGTGAGAAAATAAATCTGTTGTTTAAGCCACTCAGTCTGTGGTATTTGGATATGGAAGCCTGAACGGACAAATACAAAAGGAGTACCTTGTCTTCTGAAGTTCTGAGTACATGTCCCCACCTGATGTGCAGTAGCACACTAGTGTGCTGTTGAATAATGTGAGTGCCCAGACATTGACTACCCTGAAAGGGATGGAGTTGCTACAAACTCTATGCTTCCTTTTGCCATAAATTTCATCTGGAGTCTTTAGAGATCAAGTGTGGTCTGACATACTATTCTACCACCATGGCAATATAGAGGGGCTCGGGAGGTAGTCTATCACTCAACCATGAGTTATTGTATGTGGTACTGTTTGCTATTAACAAGAGACTTGAGAAATAGGTGTTTTAAAGTGAAGAGATTAAGAAAAACAACACAAAAAAACAAAACTCATAGATGCAGACAACAGAGGGAAAAGTGGGTAGGGACAGTAGAAGAAGGTAAAGGGAGGGGTGGATGGTGATGGAAGGACACTTGACTTGGGGTGGAGAACACACTACAATATACAGATGATGTATATTTTAGAATTGTACACCTGAAACCTATATAATT